ATGTCACCACTTACCTACTCATATTGAAGGACGAGAACAACGGTGCCGCTTCTGTAAGAATGGCAAGTCCCGTCTCCAGTGCAGTAAGTGTAAAGTTGTGTTGTGTCTTGCAAGTCATAGGAATTGTTTTGTTAATTTTCATGTTCAACAAGACCGAGAAAATGTTGAGTTTTAAAATGAGAACAAATGTGTGTATACATATGTATCGTCAATTGTGATGTAGTTCTGTTTTCATTCTGTAAGTTTTATTAACATTTTAGTGGTTATAAACCAAATGTTCTTTTCATTTTATGTTAAATCTCTATTGGCATAAAATTGCCCTAATTTAGTTCATGCATAGAGTTTTTTACCTTGTAAAGATTTCTCTAGTCCTAATTTATCGGATTGTCAGTGTTCCTAATTGTTTTCCCTCATATTCATTAATTTACAATGTTACTATGTGTTCAGAACTCTATTAACTTTGTTTCTCTTGTTTTAGGAGTGCCTTTAGTAACATTTACAGATTACTTAAGTATTAACTGTTTGATTTGATTTCTATGGACTGCAGCAAAAACTGAAGTAATGAATTCTAATGCTTCTCTGCTGATCTGTTATTCATTATTTTTTTTGCGAGCAAATTGTGAAGTGTCAAATTCCAATTCTATTTTGTAATCACGCAGTAGTGAGTCCTCTACTACATTTATAGTTTGTAATACTATGATCTCTTATTTAATTTTTTTGCATGCAATTTCAAAGTGATGAATTTCTAAGCTACTGTTGTAAAACTTTGACACCTTATTTATTTTATGTAGTCCCAATTTTAATTTTATTTTATGCTTCCTTACTCTTGGTCTACCATCCAAGACACTGGTCACTTTAGTTTGTACACTCTGTGATCTCTTATTACCATTTGTTTCAATTTTATTTTGTGTTGGCTAGTAATTTTTAATTTCAAAGTGTTGAGCCTAGTCTCATAGGCATATGCTATTGTCTCGTAATTTTTAATTCCAAAGTGTTGAGTTTAGTCATGTAGGCATATGCTATTGTCT